GAATGACATTGAGCTGAATGTATTGGATAATGCAGGATGTTTTGAGATTCCCACGCGTCTCTCCTGCTCCTATTCTCCCCAACTCCACAAAAGGACAGGATGTAAATCTTAAACCAGTCTTTGTTCTACTTGTATGTCTTAATTATTTTTCTAATGAAGCTTAACGCAAGCTACTTCAAAAGTAGTGAGAGAGTTAACAAGAAACATTATCTCTCCTGACCATGCTTTGCTTTTCTAAGTCAAAATTGCCTGCAACAATGACGGCGAGGCAGCTTACAATGGAAAATGTTGGTTTTGAAGACCTTATCTGAGGTATCATCGTCAGAACGTCTTAGAAATCCTGAAGTTATCTGTAAATTAAATGAATATTTGCTGTTGTCACCATTAGTCGGTGGTACTTTCCCGTTTCATCTCTTCTAGGATCTTAGCCAAGACAGCCTTCATCTGTGTGATTAATTGGCTTTTTGATTGTTTCAGTATCTACGGTTTGGGTTTTCATTCTCCGCTCCATTTTGGTGATTGAGTAAACACACAAACCAACTGAATTAAGGTCACTGACTGACGCTGGATTAGTGACAGCTCAATGTGCTCTTTATGAAGCGAGATTGTTATAAACACCTCCTGTCAGATGATATTTTAATAATTTAATGCATAGACGGTAGTGAAGACTTTACCCCTGGAGGAATCCGACATCACAAAGTACCGACGCAGATCTGTAACGCAGACAGCAAGAAGTTTGGCTGGAGTGTGACATCATTCCATTCAACCTGCCTGCTGTGGAAAACAGGATTTTAGTATGACTGTATGTCAGGGTTTAACAGAAATCCAATTTACCAGACATTAAATTCCATCTGAACTGTGGAGCAGCAACATTCAGGAAACTCTTTCGTTCTAAACCATCGGTAGGAAATTTTCGGACCAGTCAAGCCATGGAATGATAATTTAATGACCTTTTTTTTTCTTCTTTTCCTTCTTTCCTTTCTGTTCTTTATTGCGCCCGGAATAGACTTTGCTGCTGCGGAATGATAGCCTGGAGCCTTTAAGAGGAATTAATATTCTGATCAGCTTTACACTTCTATCTTTGATGTACAAAGGTGCTGCGATAACAGAACGGCAGTTTCTGCCGCACTAGATTTCACCTTTCTAGATTCCAGCACTTCCAATCCAAAATTCTTCTCAGTTTTTTTTATCCACCCTGTACTCTGCAAGGCTAGTGTGCATGCGTCAAATAGTTCAACGTCAGTTCTGGAATATTTTTAAACATCTGTTAGAAACCAGGCTGAATAAAATTGCCTATAAATCTTCCTTTCTTTGGGAAGTCAGACAGAAGACGTGTTCTGGTGAGCCCTGCATTTATCAAGAGGGTATTTTATACGGTTGCTCTATTAATGAGGGACATGGAAACAATGGGCTTTCGAGCCCAGGCTGTGTCAGATGAGAGTGTTCAGAGGAGGAGCTGCAATCTCTTAATTGGAGGAATGTGACTCTTGTGAGCTCCGTAGAACGTGTGAAGTGCTAAACAGGTCTGCGCTGCTGCGAACTCTCAACCGCAATGTGCCGGGAACTCCGTTAATCACTGCTAGGAGCTACAACGGAAATGTTTGTAGACTGTTAATTTCTGATCTCTTGAATAATGGAAGAGTTTTTTGGGGCAGGAGTTGGGTGGGGGGGGTTGGGGGAGAGAGTCGTGGATGCTTGATGACTGTAGACTGTGAAGGGGAAATGTTTCAATCCCGAGCATTTTGTTTTGCGTCAAAGAAATTGTGTTTTGTGATCAAGCGGTCGTACGTGCTCTTAAAGAGTGAGTTTTCCATAGTTCATTTGTAACTATGAACCTATTGTTCACCTTCGTTGACTCATTTTAAGTACTATATTTATTTCTGCATGTTTGTTCTTTTTCAAGGAAAAATGCAAATTTAAAAAAAATCCTGTTTGTTGTGATTTAACGCATTTCGCCAATTTTAACTGTATCACAGCAGATTTTCTGTCCCATTACTACCCATTTGTTATTCAAACAGGCAGTTTTGCTGGCAAACAGTTTTTTTTCTCACTCCACGTGAATTATTGTCCTAGAAATAGTCTATGATGTCAGCCTGACTCAGTTGGTAACGCACCTGCCTTTTGAGTCAGAAAGTTGTAGGTTCAAACTCCACATCAGCACTTGGAACTTATGTCGTCTAGGATGGCACTCCAATACACTGGGAAATGCTGCATCGTTGAAGGAGCCGTACTTCAGATCAAACTGAAGCCCAGTCTGCCTGTTCAGGTGGATGTCAATGATCCCATCCTATTCAAATAGAGAAGGGAGTTCGTCCCAGTGCCCTGGCCAACAATCTCCCAACTAATATTGGTCATTCAGATGCTGGCTGCTTCCGGGACATTGCTGTGCGCAAAATTGGCTGCCGCATTTGCCCACAGAGCACGCAGTCATTGCACTTTACAGGAGATCTTGTGAAGTGCTTTGGAACCTCTTTGCTGTTCCAAATGTAAGGATCATTACAACAGTTTGTGCAGAAGCTGGGCTGGGAGCAGTGCCCTGAGCTCTAAGCGGTTACACGTCCAGCTTTCAATCCCATGTTTTACATTTGAAAGCATCAAAGGTATTTTGTGGTGCGGTTGGGTCATCAGGGGACAGGGGGTTTGTGACAGCTCCAATTGATTTCACTCATGCCATTGGGACATGAAACTCTTAAAACGGCTGAAACTATGAACGACCAAGACTGCTGTCTGCCTACTTGGTGGGAAAGGGAGCCCCCTACACTATTCGATCATTTCAAGCAGAAAAATGTGACGCAGCTGTTTCAGCAACTTTCCAAGACCACTGTTAAATGGGTCTCCTTGCCATGTCTTGCAGGCGATATCTTTGTACGCAGCCCATACTGTGGTGAAACTGCATCAATTATCGCACCTGCTGGGTGCAAATCATTCATAGGACATCTTCGAGCCGCAGCTGAGATCAGAATTTGAAGCAAGCAAAAATTCCCTCCAGCTGTAGGGTCTGCTGAAGTGCCTGTCGCAGCGTCACTTTTACCCCGGAGGCTTCAAGTGCAGAGCCAAATGGTGCTGAGGTGTCGCAGCACTTTGAGATACTCCTTCAAATGGAGTTCCGTCCGTTAAAATATAATTTGGTGATGTCAGCTAGCCATCTATTGATGGCAGAAGGCTGGGAAATGTTCTTTTTACTATTCTTTGCTTGGGGGGAGGGGGAATCACAAATCCTTCTAATGGCCGTTGGCACGTGCCCAAATGTCTGGAGGTTATTGCGATACTTGGGCATCGAACCAGGGCATCTGTGTGGAACGTCACTGGGTGACTTGCTACAATTCCAGTGAATGCTGTGGCTGTCAACAAAGATCTGAGCTTCATTGTGGAGCCTCAGCTCCTACTTTCAGAATTCGCTGATCTCTCGCCTGGCGCTCGTGGGGCAAGTTGTTGGAAGAGGAGAAAGAAGCTGAAGCGTTTCTAGTTTCGTGTCCTGTATTTTTGCAGTACCTGATTTCGGTCTTCAGAGGCAGCGGTAATAGCCGCACAGCTCACTAGCAGCATTTGGTGGCAGTAATGGGTTACTGCAGAAAGTGCATTGATCAGGGGACCTTTAAGACTTTGGCCACAGTACCTGACCATTTGGACTACTTCTGGTTCTCCGCTAATGTGATTAAAAAAGAACATTTTAATCCCAAGGAAAGAACTATAAAATAGTTGCCTGCTGGATTGTCCATCATTCCTTGTTTTTTTTTTTTCTCTCTCTTTCTCCCCACCCCACACATCCATGGTGACGGTGGACAATCTCACTTGTTTTTGCTGCTTATTAGTCAGCTGTACAACATGACAGCAATGCAGGGCAGGCTCCTGTCGACAGACAACCACTCCCAATATGTCACTGAGATGGGAGGGGGGGGGGGGGGTCAGGTGGTAGAGTGAAACCAGAGAAAGAATATATCAGAGTTAAAACTTCAGATCTGTGTTGACAGCCACAGCATTCACTGGAATTGTAACAAACCATCTGAATCACTCGCTTTGTTTTTAGTCATTCCTGAACTTCGGTCCTGAATATTTCTGGAATCATTAGAAGCCTTCTCTTTAACCTAAATATAGCCTAGACATCTTTTACCCAGCGTATGTGGCAGACACTGCTACAGACATCATAATGTAAAACGAGACCTCATTAGCAATAAAGCTTGAGTTGCAAAAAAAACCAGCATGAGGCATTCGTTTCTCAAATGATTTTTGTTTGTGCTGAGCTGCTCCCCAGTATGACGGATTTCAAACATTGTAGCTTGCTCTTTTCAAGCAGATAAATTACTCAGGATCATGCTCGCCTGAGGGACTTTGTGCAGTTCTGTATTTCCCTTTTCTATCACAATAAAAGCGGGTGGTAATAAATGTCTTCAAACATCAGGGCTGGACATGTAATGAGTAAATGATGGAAGAAGAGGAATACAAAAAGAAAATGATAAATCCTATCTCTGCTGACGAACGACTTTTTGATAAGTTGGCCTGCAGTCAAATTAGAAAGCCTCTCCTGTACACAAGCCCGGCTCAGCCATTGAACAGCAATCAAAAGAGCAAATAAACTACTCAAAGTATTGTTCCTAAGTAAAAACGAGCTTTCAAGCTGAAACGATCAAAAATTGCTATCGATTCCTACAACTGTTGTGTTCATCTTTATTGATCTGGTGAAGAAAGATAAATCTGAGCCGAAATGAGATTACTGTGCGTTAGTCCGTCAGACCATGAGGCCAATTTTGAGCCATTCATCATCGCAGGCAGTGACCCATCCACCCATTCCAGTTGTGCTTCTGTATAATCGCATCGCCATCGATTTGTTTTATCTAATACAGCAGACCTGGGTTCTTGATGGTAATTTGCGTCCTAAGATTGCAGCAGACATTGGTATGTGTGTGTGTGTGTGTGTGTGTGCGGGGAGTGGTGGGGGGGTTTGGGGGGGTTGGTTGATTGCCCAATGATTTAATTTTTGTTTTCTTATTGGTAATTTTCAGAGTGCTAAGTTCTACCAACTGAATGCTGATCAGTACCAGAAAGCAGCTGACGAAGTGGAGGCCAAGTTTAAGTAAGATTACATTTCATTTTGCTTTCAACGATACTCCTCAAGAGTCCTCCCTCTTGTCGCTTTGTTTTCTTTTCATTTTCTTGGTACCCCAATGATTCTACCCGTGATGCGTTGTATTGCAGTTGACCCGACGTGATACAAATATCCTCTCTCGTTATATTGATGTGGAGTCCTGTAGTGTATTGGTTGGAGCACTCGCCTCGCAAGCGAGAGGACTCGGGTTCCACTCCCGGGTGGGGTGAAACCTTAGGCAAGTTTCCTTACTCCACACACATCTGTTTACCCAGCAGTAAGTAGGAACCTGGTTGTTAGTCAATTGGCGGATCACTTTTCCGGAGGTGATAAATCCTTTCCAAAAAAAAAGATAAATAATAATAATTTGATCACTCAATCCACGACTGTTTGTGTGGGGACGCTGCTGTGCGCAATTGCTTGCCCTATTTCGCCCACAAAATACACAGTCAATTCACTTTACAGTGTATTCTGTGAAGCGCTTTGAGACGTCTCGAAGAAGTGATAAGGCGCTGTGTCAACTGCAAGGATCATTATTATTATTATCCTGATTACATATTTCTTAAAAGCGCAGCCGAGCTGACAGCATGGGGGAATATTCCACTCGCACAACACACTGCTCCCACTGCGGAGAGGCAATGAGGCGAGACGTTCTCAGCACAGTGCCATTTCATTTCCTTTTCAAAATGATGATTTGGAAAACCATCGGAACCGGATTCTGCCACGGCTTAACAGAGGAGAGTAGCAGCAGGGTCCAGTTGTGCTGTTGTCAGTGCAAGAATGTTTCATAAACTAAACAAAAGCCAAGATTCAGCAAACGATTAGTTTGGACGTTCCATTGAAAATTTACTCAACGTCTTGTGCTCCTGGGTTAGTTCAGTTCTTATGTGAAGTAGAACTGAGATAGTGCAAGGCCCTCCTCGTAACGCAGCAAGCCAGACAGCCAGACAAAATGCTATACCTGCACTTTAGGGGAGGGGTTATAAAGGGGTTGCACCATATTTAAATATCTCCAAAGGATTTTAGGTGGTCAAATATTACATCAACCGCGCTTGTAATTCAAGTCGTTCTAACGATGTCAGGATCTGCAGGAGTGGTTTAGGTTAGCAAACGCCCAGCAATTTGAACACTTTTGTAAGCGACGCGCAGGAGAAAGCAGGGTGTCGAAATGTGTGACAGCTACCAGTAGAGGTAGGTGTGAAAGTAATAGCGTTAGGAATAACAATAATCCTTGTATTTGATATAGCACCTGTCGTGTTGAATGTAGGTCACTTATTTTTTCTTCTCCCTTTAGGCAAATCTTTGAAACATTTTATTTTTCTCACCCCTTTTTTAAGGCTTTTTTATAACCTGCACAATTCCTCAGCTGAGAGAGTAGGCGGGGAGACTGCTGACTATCCACTATATTTTTGGTCAGCCAGGTGTCTGACACATGCGGAAACCCACCCAAAGGGTATCCAAACCAAACTGAGAATTTCATGTATCTCACCTACACATGGAAATCCCAGAGATAGATTGTTAGAATGGAATGCGCGCACTCTCCCTGGAGGGATTCATCCTGCTTAGCAAATTCCGGAGAGTATTAGGCACAGGTTGGCAAGAGCCATGGCTAAGGGGACCCCAGAATGTGTGTTGGGGTAACTGCTCGAGTCTAACCAGCTAAAACCGCACAGCTTGACTATTCACGGGGAGAGCGAAACATTCTCTTGAGTATTTCTCCCTTTTAAGGGAATTACCTGCATTCTGCAGGACTCAATAAAAGGAATTTTCTGCAGTCTACAGCATGATAAGGTGACACAGTATTTGTTTAAGTTGCTCTGTAGCCTAGTGGGTAAAGGCACTGCACCATTCGATTCTGAGCTGAATTGGCTTCGATACCCCTAGGTTAGTGAGAGGGGAAAAATCAGCAAGGTTTCCCAGTCTTGATGGTTATCCAGAGAACTCTGTTGTGTGCTTGTGTGTCTGGACATTGCTTGAGGACAGATTGAGCTCGGCTGTGATTGCCATTGTAATGAATTGCACTGCCAATACTCACCGTTATGGTTCACTTATTATTAATGGCCAGTTGAGCAAGGTGCCATAAGCTATATGGCAACCAATGAAATCCTGTCGCAGGAGAAGAGACCTCAACCCATGACGAAACAGCCAACACTGCAAGCTTAGAAACAGTAACCGTCCCAGCAATATGGACCCATCAGGACCAACAACAAATTACACTTGTTTCACGCCTTTCACGTCAAGAGGATGTCCCAAGGTGCTGGACAGTCAAGGATTTGCAGAGCAGGGAGGGTGGGGGTAGGAGGGTGATCGAAGAGTAGGATCGTGGAGGCAAGAAAGTCTGCAACTGACATAAAGAGACAATGATAATCATTATTAACTGTTAGCAGGGCCCCATCATAAGGAGAGGAGGGACTCTTCAGCAGTACCAGTCCATGCCGATGAAATACAGTATAAAAGAGATCCCTGAGAATATAGGGACACAGAAGCTCATCACCCGGCCTGGACAGCTTGATGCAATTATAAGAGGATGGAAAGGTGGCTATTCTGGAAGGATGAGTTCAAGTGGGACACAAGGAAAGCTCTCGTAAGCTGTTGAACATTCCAAGCAGTCAACGACACAGCAACTAGGATCTCAGCTATGTAGTGATCATCGCAGGAGAAAATAAACAGCAGGATTGTGTGAAGTACAACTTTTAAGCTAATTAAAAATGTAAAGAGCTTTGAAAGTTCATAATATTTAATTATCCGTTTCCAAATTGCATTCTTTGCAGCACAACTGTAGTTATTGCAAAGTTTACGACAAGGGAGTTAATTTCGTAAACCGAACATAGAGGGAAACCACTGATTTAGAACGTATTGCCAGCACATATAAACACCAGGAAATTTAGTACAAGGTATTGAGTGAAAGCCAGGTGTGCCCTTGAGATAAGTTAACAAGTACAGTTTATGGGGAATGAGTGAACATTTTTATGTGTTCGGATGACAACAGTAAAAGGTTTTGATCTCCTGGTTACTTCTGCACTTGGGAGATTACATGGAGGAACGTTTTTTTTTCCCCACCTTTTATCCAGTTCTTTCATTCCCCCACTGTTAAAGGAAGAAAAAATCACCCACGTTTATTAGCCCATCATCATTGCCGCTGAAGTTTTCCCTTTGCATTTTTCATATAAATATACAGTTAATTCACTTTACAGAACATTCTATGAAGCGCTTTGAGACATCTCGAAGACATGGTAAGGCGCTATATCAAATGCAAGGATTATTATTATTATGTTATTTTTCATATGAAAACAAGGTGAGTTTTCACCCAAATGCTTGCTGAGAAAAAAGGGATATATTAGCAAAATAATAAACGATTCACACTTTATTTCTTATGTTCTATAAATTTTGAGCATTTCTGCAAAGATTAATAACAACAACAACATGATTCCATTTATAGAGCGCCTTTCCCGTCGGGAGGACGTTCCAAGGTGCTGTACAGTTGGGTCAGGACCCGAACAAGGGGGAAATGGTCAGGATGAGGGGAGGGAAGGGAGAGGGCGAGGAGGGGGAAGAGAGTCGAGAGGGGAGCTGAAGGCTCGGTCAAAGAGAAAGGTCTTGAGACCGGCCTTGAAGGAGGAAAGGGAGGAGGCGACGAAGGCACTGGGGGATAGAGTTCCAGAGCCTCGGGGCTGAGAGGCTGAAGGCCACCGATGGTAGGGCGGTTGGGGCGGGGGGTGTGGAGCAGACCGGAGCCAGAGGAACGGAGGGTACAGGCAGGTAGGTAGGGGGATAGTAGGTCAGAGAGGTAGGAGGGAGCAAGGCCATGAATGGCCTTGTGGGTGAGGATGAGGATCTTGAATTGGATCCTCTGGGGGATGGGGAGCCAGTGGAGGCGAGCGAGGGTGGGAGTGATGTGGTCGTGAAACCTGGTGCGGGACAGTACACGAGCTGCAGAGTACTGAATGACCTGCAGCTTGTGGATGAGTCGATGAATCATACATACATACACATGCATACATACACTTGTAAACATACATACACACACACATGTATATGCTACATCAAATGAATTGCTGCATTGTGCTTATGTATACTATCTTTACCTCTTTTTTAAAAAAATTAAGTCCAAAAGATTATCTGCTGTTAATTGTGTTAGTCCAGTGCTCTGGACAAATGAGGCGTGTGCAGGAATGGACTCTAGATCCCCAACTGAGGATTAGATTGGAAAAAAAACCGCTGTCGTCCCATTCCAATAGCAAGCTCTTGTTTCTCTGTGCTTGACCTCCTGCTCAAGTTAGATGTCTCCTTGTCCTCGAGGGGCTTTGTCTACATATCAGATCCATGTCCTAGGAACATGGGAAATGGAAGCACCTGAGTGGAACGCACACAATTTGAAAATGTAAAATATTATATACATTATAGACGTATCCTACGAGACGCATCCTTTCCCCACCTGCTCATGACTCTCGTTGCACATCAGTGATAATTCATTTACCACCAAAATTGTGGCTGTACCGCTTCATTTTAAATGCCCTGTTTTGCAATGTATCATCCAGCAGGTTCTGGAGCAGTGATGTATAATGTTGCCTGGGATATAGTTGGAGCACTTGCTGTCCTGTCCTCTGATATTGCTGAAAAATTGCTTTGGGCATATTTTTCTAAAAGAAAATAAAAGCGCTGGTGATATTGAGGAGCTGAGAAGTTACAATTCTGATGGCCTTAGCCTTACGACCCATGATCTTAAATGCAGAATTGTGGAAAATTCTTAAATTCAGCCTTAAATTATAAGTCATAAATTAGAAGTCAGTTTTTCCTCACTTCTAAAGAGGTATAAAGACAACGAGGAATATTGGACCTCCCGTTTGGAATAGTTGTGGCGCCAGACAGTTGAAATCACGTACTTGTCCCTGAAACATCCAGGTTAATGAATCTGTACATGTTAGTTTCCTCGTACTATTGGAGTCTTTGTCCTTTGAAACAATCTTCTCCACTTTACAATTTTAGGA